CGTGTGCACCCGAGGTTTGAGACCTTCAAACTTCGACAACATCCCCGAGAGCCCGAAAGCCCGAGCGAGGCCCCAAAACGGTGAAACACCTCAAGATCCGTTGCCCTCAGGACCCGCTTCGACCGGCCGAGGGGGGGGACACCGATCTGGAATCGGGGATGCGTCGCCGACAGAGCCGCGATGGACCCGCGCCATCGAATCCGCACGTTCTCCGGCGGGGCGGGCTCTCGGGCCCCCGTGGGCGATCCATGGGCGACTGTCGGCGGTGGACAAACCTCCCTATAGCAAACCTCGCCTGAGTGAAAACGGCCTGGGACCGAAACCGACGGACGTGGACCCGCAAAAATGACGGCCGCGACGCCCTCTCGCAAACCGAAGACGGCCAATTCCTGAATCGACGTGTCAGGGTAGGAGGTAGATGAACCTCCCAAATTGGGGATTTGACGCATCCTCCCGGTCCGGGTGCCCCTGGGGAGAGACCCGTTCCCCTCAGGATCCGTCTCCCTCACGGCGGGGGAAGACGAAAAACCCCGGGTCCACAGACGCTTCGCGGCCGCAGCCGTCACGCTCCAGGCTGCAGGAGCAAAGCGATCATGAGGAGGGATGATGATGCTGTTGTTGATAATGAATGGTCCTGGCGACGATGATGGTGATGATGATACTGATGGTAATGATGATGCTGATGATGATGCTGCTGCTGATGATGATGATGATGTTGGTGGTGATGGTGTGATGATGGTGGTCAGCAGCAGCTGGACTAGCAATTGGGATCATGTGAAAAGCATGAAACATCAGCCGCCCCCTTAAACGCCAGCGCGTTTCCATCATGCCGTCGGCGGCGGGGTCGCATTGCCATTGGGCTGGAAGTGTGGCCCAGTGACAACAGCGTGACATCGGCGATGGCTGCTGACAGCGCCCGTTCAAGAGCCAACGTCCACGGTGCATAAATGAATGTATGATGAAAATGAGGATGATGGCGATGCTGATGATGCTGTTGTTGATGATGAAGATGACGATGATGAAGATGATGCTTCTGATGATTATGAGCAGGATGATGATGCTGATGATGCTGTCAGTCTGTCACTTACAGAAAACACATCACCAAACAGTAGTATCAACAACATCATCATCGAGGGGGGAAAGCAAGGAGGATGAGGAGGAGGAGGAGGGGAGGGAGAGCAACGCCTGGCGACCAGCGCGCGCGGACCCGTCCTTTCACATGCTCCGCGCCCCACCCGCGTGTGCGGAGGTCATCGTGTGGATCGACGGCATGCGATCGGCGTCCATTCACCGCGGTTCGCTGGTCCATTGGCGGTCGACTAAGGCCCTAGTGAAATCCCTCACGATCTCCAAGGCATGATCTACCTCGCAATCAATCGCAGACAACGCCGTGCGGGAACGGTGGGTGATGATGTCGGATGTCGCACACGGCCCCGATAGTACAGACAGTACCTCGTGCGCACGCAAAATGTGGTCCTCGACCTCCTTCATATGCTCCGCCCGTTGCTTGTCCTCGTATTCGGTGACCTTCTCCTTGCAAAAATGCGTCACGAAAAAATACGCGAACCCTATCGCTCCGGTGAACGAGGCGGGGACCGCCAGGGAGAACTTGCCCATGAGGCTGTCCAGGTAGGCGCCGACGATGCCCCCCAGAAAGAAGCCCGTGCAGAGCAGCAGCAGGATCTGCAGCTTCATGCTGTCCACCCATATCTCTGCCTTGTCCACGTGCTTGATCTTTTCCCAGCAGCGCCGCCGCAGGAGAATAGCAACGATTCGGCCAGAGGTGGAGCCGATGTCGGTGAAGCTTCCGGTGACGTGCGTAGTGCGGACCACCGCCGTAAAATGACTCGTGCACATGGCGTTCTGCAGCCCGCAGGCCATCGCAGAAAGGTAGGCTGCTCCGCGGCCAGGCAGCACGACTATGGCAGCGAAAAGCAGCGCTGAGTTTCCGATGAGTGCGACGCTGTAGAAAGAGTTGCCGCCGAAGTGTACAGTGTTTTTGTCGATTACAAGCCCACACAGAAACGCCCCAAAGGTGAAACTCAGGATGAGCAAAAGGTGCTCAGAGGCGGGCTGTGGGTCGAACTTCCTTACCATATGTACTCCCTCCAAGTCCATAGCTGTCTTGGCGAGGCTACCCGTATGGTGGCTCACGAAGGTGCCAGGGACCTCCTCGAAAACGATAACGTCCACCATGCCGGCGCAACCAGCGAGGACAAACCCCAACGCAAGCATCCACCATGCAGGGTGCTTGAAGCCCTTTCTGATCTGCTCGGCCTTCTCCAGCTTTCTCTCTTCGGAACTTGTGGAGTCCCCCTCCTCGTAGCTTGAGGCAGACTCCTCTGCGTCGAACGACACCTGCCTCCCAGGCTGGCTCGGCAGCGCCGCCACGGACGACGCCATCTGCTGGCCAGCGCCTGCGGGCCCGGCACGTGCTGCACAGCTCTGGGCTGGCCAGGCTGGCGCAGGGGCTGGGGGGCGGGCCAGCTGGAGCCTAAAAGGACGCAAAAGGGACGCAGAGAGGACATAACCATATTGTACTGTGTCGTTTCCCGAGCGGTGTGGCCAGAAAGGGCCCACTACGGAGCATATACTATACATAATACCTATACGACGACCCTTCGGGTGAGAAGGAGGTTGTGGGGGGGGGGGGGAAGGGGGGGGAACCAACATCTGACTAAATCGATCTCACTATCGATCTCACTCGACGGGACACCACGGAACACCACGGGACACCTCTCGATCTCAATATCGATCTCAGTAACGATCTCACTCAACGGGGCACCACGGGACACCACGGGACCCCTGTCGATCTCACTATCGATCTCACTATCGATCTCACTATCGATCTCACTCAACGGGACACCACGGGACTCCTCGGGGCACCACATCGATCTCAGTATCGATCTCAATATCGACCTCACTATCGATCTCACTCAACGGGACACCACACGGGACACCTGTCGATCTCACTATCGTTCTCATGATCGATCCCACTTTTTGGGACACCACGGGACACCTCGGGGCACCACATCGATCACAGCATCGATCTCACTATCGATCTCCCTCAGCGGGACACCACGGGACACCACGGGACACCGCGAGCCACCGCCGGACGGACGGACGGACGGGGGAGAATCATTTGTCTTGACTTCGCCCTCGCAACGACGGACACCACGGGACACCACGGGACACCACGGGACACCGCGAGCCACCGCCGGACGGACGGACGGACGGGGGAGAATCATTTGTCTTGACTTCGCCCTAGCAACGAGGTTTGGCCGCGGCCCACCCACAGGAGGATTTCGGGACACCAGCGGGACACCAGCGGGACACCGCGGGCCACTGGCCGCCGGAGGAGAAACATGTGTTCCAGCCGCGGCCCCCGCACGCACGCACGGCACGCATGACGCGAACCCGAAACCGAAATCGATTTCCCGGTAGGGGGGGTCTCCGTTTCACGTCGGACTCGCCCCCAACCTCCGATGAATCTGCTGGGGTGGCGCCGATTCTGGGTCCTCTGCCATGAAAGGACTGGTCCAATGACAGGCCGACAGAGCGGGCACGCGTTGCCCCTTCCGTTCGCGCCCAGGGCTTCCCTCTGGACCTCCGCACAAGTGCCTCCGCCTCGTGCCCCTCCTTCGGGGGCGCGCAGACATGGATTAACGATCCATGGATTTGGCGCGCGGTCGCCAAATCCATGGATCGGGGGAGGTGCCCTCCCGAAAATGCGGCTGGTGGCGCCTCGTTCGGCGTTTACAATCAGCGATGTCCTATAGAAACGGGACTCGTCGCAAATCCACGCCCCCTTAATCCATGTTTACGATCGCCTGACTCCTCCCCTCCTCCTCCTTTCTCCTCCTCTCCCGCTTGCCAGGTCTTCGGGGGCCTTTACTGTAGCTCCAGCCATTCGTGCAACGCGTCCCTGCGCCAGGCTGATGGCCCATCACATGAGGTCGTCAACATACCGTGCCGTTGCTCGGACGTCCATTCCCCGTGTATGTTTCAGTTTTGTGCGTGTTTTGTTGCTCGATGATGCAGGATGCTCCTCGATGGTCCTCGCCGAGGGAAAAAGCACACGTCCGAGCGATGACAAGATCTGGAGTCGACGCGGCACTCCAAGAGACGCCTCTGGACTTGGCGGTGCGCGGCTGCGGACCGTCAGGCCCCGAGGGGAGGACACGGAGGAACAACCAGCCGCAGCAGCAGCAAAGAGGGAGGGAGGGACGAGGGAGGGAGGGGAGGAACGAGGGGAGGGCGGGAGGGGAGGGGGGGACGAGGGACGAGCGAGGGGGGAAGGGAAGGACACGGAGGGACGAGAGAGGGAGGGAGGAGGACCCGCAACACGACGGACGAGCAAAGATCGGAACAAATCATCTATCCGCAACAACTCCTGCCACGAGGTATCAGCTGGGTGCGTGCGTCGATGCGTATCCACGCAATCCAAGGCACGCGATTCGAAGGCCCGTTCCCACCACCCCAGCAAAACATGGATGGGTTAGCCGGAGGGGGGGAATCGACCCCCAAAAAAACACACACTGACCCATTGAAGGAACAAAACATTGGTACCGCGCAAAGGGGGGTAGGTGAGGGATGGAAGGCGTCTTAGGAGGATGCTGCGTTTTCAAAGGCGCCAGTCCCACATTTATACACAAGGCCGCTCCTCCTAAGAAGCAGGGGTGCTTCTAAAAAGTCACCCCCCCTCCCCCGTAGTTCCCTCCACGCGTGACCCCCCCCGACAAGATCGACTGATTGAGGAAAGAAGGACACACCAAAAGAGGGACAATGGGCGGGAACGGAAAAAACAAGAGGAGGCGCGGAAACGGAGGGATCCGAGGAGGGGGGCGGATAGAGTGGCCCCAAATCCCCGGTTTCTATGCTGTTTGGGTTGTCCTCTGACCATGATTTCTACTTCCTCACAACACCTATTACTCATCGGCATCAGCGTGTCTGCGTGCACGTCGCAAATTTCCCTCTGGGGACGGGGGGGAAAGGCGGTCCTCCCTCACCAGCCAATCTGGCCGCGCACCCTCGGCGACCGGCAGGCCGTCGAACGGATCGACCTTGCGGCCAGGTGCGCAATGCCACGGCGTCCGGGCGCGACGCTGACAGTAATATGGGGAGGAATAGCAACATTGAGAAAGGCACACTCGGAGACGAGCTGCGGGGCGGGGGTGTGTCCATAACTGCAGCCACGGGCATCGCTGTTCGCGGGCCTCGGCCCGCGGCGCGCATGGATACGTCTGCACTTTCAAGGGCTCGAACGTGTCCAGAACTGCAGCCTACTAAAGTTTCCGAATACTGATCCTCTTGGAAAACAATTATGAGTACACCCCCCTGGGGAGAATCCCGTCGACCTTTGCGGGCATTCATTCACCATGGGCGGCGAAGAGGCAAACGTGCTGCACGACTTGGAGGCACGACCCGTCGGTTGGATGAAGTGGGTAGAACCATTCACTAGGATGGCGCTGAAAATATGTTGGGCGTCCGCCCGCACCCTGAAGAGGGAGAAAGAGCGGAAACCACTCGATCAGTGAAACAGGAAGGCGCTTACAATAGATTAGGATATGGGAATCTGGACATACCTACTTGCGACGACCGACGGGTGGCGGCAACTGGTGGCATGCAGAAACAAACCAGACGTGTGATTTGAATAATGGTCACCCTGCCCGGGCGGTTCGCCCAGGGACGTTCGCCACGTGGAACAGCTCACGGCGGCGCGAGCGATTGGCGCCGGCACCCGGCCATCAGCTGGATGGCGACAGACGCGACGCGAGCGGTGCCGCTTCACCGGGGGGGGACAGCAGCGCCTCCGCCACAGCGGGGCGGTGGGGCCAAAATGGTTACAACTAGGGAAATAGGAAGAGGCGGGAGGCAAAAGCGCTTCACAGCTGGCGGGCAGTGCTGGCATGGCTACGAACAAGAAGTGAAGGGAGCAACGGCAGATGCGCGCGGCAACGGTTCCTCCTTGCCCCCCCCCCTCCACCACAGTATGCCCCACGGGGGTGGGGGGCGTGCGAACTGGGCCTGCTGTAGTCGACAACGACGACGGCGACGCGGCCGACGGGACGACCGACGACGCGCGCGCTGCGGATGTCCTATGGGGTGTGGGGGGGCGTGGGGCGGGGATGAACAGGACCGCCGTGGACGACGACGACGACGACGAGGACGACGACGGCGAGGAAATAAACGACGCACTGCGGATGCCCCATGGTGTGTGTGTGTGTGTGTGCGTGTGTCTGTGTGTATGAGTGCGTGCGTGTGCGTGTGGTGGGTGCGAGGCGAATGCCCTCTCACCTCGCCTGTTTTCCGCGGCCGTTTTCCCTGCTCATCCGCCTCTTGCTGCCGGATAATTAGTATGCCGCGCGTCCCAAGCTACTAGAGCGCGCGTGCGGATCGCCAATGCCGCGCTGCGACGGACAAGTGTTTGTGTGTGCTTTTCTGGCACGCGCCTGCGAAATTCTTCACGTTCCGAGCGGCTATTGATTTTCCTTTCCCTCTCTCCTCCCGCATGCCGCCCGTGGCCCGACCGGCGCGTGCTCCAGCTTCGACCTGGCTCCGCCCGCTGCCCTACAAAAGTGTGTGTGTGTGTGTGCTGCGCAGGCACCCTGTGGCCGACGACGACGGCAACGACCGACTACGACACACTGTGGATGCCCCATGGAGGGCGGGTGGGTGGGGTGATAAGACGACGACGATGCCGAGCGTGAGCACGTGAATAACCAACCTGACAGGGAAAAACACTTCACCTCGAATGCGTATGATCCTTATTACAACTTTCATCCGAAAGTGCGATCGTTCTGAAGCTGCCATGCAAGGATGTGCACGATCCCCTCGGCGGCGTCCGCGACGACCATGGGCGCGCGCGACTTAACAATAGTTTCGCGCCCCGCTGTGTCTATTCATCAACCATGCGAAGGGGGGATAATTTGTTAATCACAAGCGGATGTTTCCCCCTGGAAGCGCCGTGGATTCGTGAACCATTTACCGCTGCACGTCGAGGAGTAGCAGGGAGAGAACGAAGAGGAAAAGGAGAAATGGAAGAGGAGGCAGAAAGGCAAGGGACGAGGACGAGGACGAGGGATGATGACGATGATGCTGAGGCTACTGATGCTGATGATGATGAAGGCGATGACGATGCCAATCACGAGGGATGATGCTGATGATGATGCCGTCGATGATGATGATAAAGGTGATGATGAATTTGACGATGGTAATGAACATGACGATGATGAGGTTAATGATGATACGGATGATGCTGATGATGATACTAATGATGAAGATGGTGACGATGACGATGATGAAGATAATGATGATACTGATGCTGCTGATGATTCTGATGATGCTGATGGTGATGAAAATGACGATGCTGAGAATGCTGATGCTGATGATGAGGATGATGACGGTGATAGTGCTGATGCTGACGTTGATGGTGATGCTGATGCTGATGATGGTGCTGGTGCTGATAATGATGATGGTGTCGATGGTGATGCTGATGATGCTGATGCAGCTGATGATGATCAAGGCGATGATACTGTTGATTATGCTGTTGCAGCTGGTGATGATGAAGGTGATGCTGATGCTGCTGGTGATGATGATGATCATGACGATGATGCTGGTATGATTCTGATTCTGACGATGATGATGAGGAAGTTATTTTCCCCTGGCTCCAGTTCCTCAGCCCTGTCGAGTTCGGCTCGGCTGCGCTGCTTGGTAACGCTCCAATATGTCTCATGGGGGTTAGACTCGGCAGCGCTCTTCCACTGCCAATGCGGACAATCAGCCCCTGCATCCAGCATGGCAAGACCAGGCGAGTACTCATCGAAATCCACGCGCCGCCTACGAAGCGGCGAATTGCATCTCCTGTAGCGCACACTTGGGATACGAGTGCGTCGAAGCCAGAAGTGCCCATCCGATCGCTGAGATGAAACGCCGCGAATAGAGAGGCCCAGCTCAGGCGGACGAGGCCGCTGTCGAGTGCTGGGCGCCGGGTTCCCCTCATAAGGAAGATGCACAATAGCATGCGCATCGACCGCAGGGCCGCGCAATTCAGCAAGAAACTTCGCAGTCAGTGCAATCTTTTCTTCCTGGGCTGTCTTAGCTGACGCCGCTGCAGCCTCCAGCGCGGCGCGATGATCGGCATGAGGATCGGCGCGAACAGTGCCAGAATGAAGAACCGCACGAACAACTTCATCCTGATGATCGGCTCGCACAGCATCAGGAGTACGAACAGCTTCAACACGAAAATCAGCAGAATGCTCGGCGTGAAGATCGGCACGACAAGCTTCATCATGAAGGTCCGGAAGAAGCGCGCGAACAGCGTCATCCTGATGATCGGCACGAACGGGCACAGGAGCACAAACCGCTTCAGCATGAAGATCGGCAGACTGATCGGCATGAGGATCGGCACGGATAGCTTCAACAATAAGATCCGCTCGAACAGCGTCATCATGGAGATCGGCACGTGCATCCGCACGAACATCTTCATCCTGATGATCGGCACGAACAGCTTCAGGAGCACGAGCAGCTTCAGCATGAACAGCAACATCATGATCGGGATGAAGATCGGCACGAACAGCTTCATCGTGAAGAGCCTGAAGAACCGCACGAAAGGCTTCATCCTGATGCTCGGCACGATCATCTACAGGAGCGCGAACAGCTTCAGCCTGAAGAACAGAAACCTCCGTGGCGGGCGCGCACGGAAGCACTTGAAGATCACCAGGCCCATCAAAAAGACCGATATCACCAGGGAGTAGTTGACGGGGCTCAGCGGGCAGGAGAGACGGCGCGACCGTCGCCATTGTCATGTTGATGACCAACCACATTTTTAGAAGGAGGATCGGCGCGCCGAGGGCGCCATACAAACCGAGCAGCGCCGCCGTCGCCAGGTAGTTGTACTCGAGCCGCAGCGGGACCAGCAGGTAGGACGGTACGACCATCATCGTCATGGTGAAGGTCAACCCCATCAGGATCAGCTGGAGCGCCATGAAGACCCGAATGTCCGTCAGGGGGAACAGCCTCCATCGGGGCGAAGACGAACGCGTCCGAAATGACGGGGAAGGGCGGCGTTTCAAGAATATCTTCACCATGACCAGCAGCGCCGTCGTCGTCAATGCCAGGGCCAAAAGGATGTGTCCGAAGGGCCTTGCACATCGGCCCAGCCGACCAAGGGTCGCACCCAGGTGATGCCCAGGGGTCCGTACCCCGCTGACGCATGCGGAGAGGATCACGTAGAGGCCGACGACCACTGCCAGGGCCAGGGCCGCCACGATCATCACCATCATCGTCTTGACCTCCACCTCCAGGGAGGTCGGTATCAGCTTCGCCACGTGCGTGAGCAGGTGGAGCACGCCGCATCGATATCGAGACACGGGACTCTCCAGCTGACGAGCAGTGCCCGTGGTCCACAACAATGGCGTCCTGAAGCGAGGCGAGCAAGGACTGGATGAGCAATGTCGCGAAACTATTGGGCATGCCAACGTCCCAGTACGGCAGGAAAACGAAGTGGAATCTGACCCTATCACGATGCGAATTGAGTCGAGCCCGACATTGGCGCCCTTGAGCGAGTTGATCCGCGATCCATCGCAGCCTCGCAGCACTGACCATCCGAGCGAAAAAAAACAACTGAGGCGGAAGCGGCGGTGGGCGCACGGGCGCCCGATGGCCCTCGACCCAGCACGTGCTAGAGCCAAAGTGGCTATGATGATGATGATGACGACGATGACGACGACGACGACGACGACGAAGACGACGACGACGACGACGACGATGGTGATGATGATGATGATGATGATGATGATGATGATGATGATGATGATGATGATGATGATGACGTCGGTGATGGAGATGTGCCGTAGGAGGCGGGTTTGCTGCCTTACTAGGACGACGACAGGGAGCTACTTGCACACGTACACGCAAACACGCAGCGCATGCAAGGTAAATGCTCTCCCCGAGAACCTCTGGTGGGCTCTGCGGCAGCGCGGGCAGCGTCTGCAGCCTGGGCACCTGGGTGCGGAACACGTCCCACTGGTCCGACTGGGGGCCGTCTTTGGCTGGTCAGAAGGAGGAGGGGAGGGAGGGAGGCAGGCGAGGAGGGAGTCAGGAGGCAACTCCAGGGACGTTTTTGTGGGAATTATCAAAGGCTTCGTAGCGAGGGTAAGGGACTAAGGAACTCGATCGAACCAAGCCGAACCGAAGCCTTGGCCGGGATTGCTTGACAGGACGGCGGAGGACTGAGCGGGACCAGGCTGGAGGCAGGACGGCTTCCGACCGAAGCTGTTGACATCAATCTCCCAGGAGATGCAGCCCAGGGAGAGGGAGGGAGGCCCTCGAAGGCCTTTGGGGGCCTCCGGCAACCTGAAGAGGCGCCCTCCTGTGCTCGGCTCAAGTGTCATCACGAGCTGCAGTGGCAAGGATGCTCGGCTCAAGTGTGATAAAAAGACTCGGCTTAAAAGTGATGAAAAAACACACTTGCAAATCATGTGCAATCCCGAACTGCAATGGCAAAGATGCTCGGCTCAAAACATCCAAAAATCCGCGGCTGCTGCTGCTCCTTCGGGCAGCGAGCCGTGAATGCTCGGCCCTGCCTGCTGCGCTCGCTGGAATGGCCAGACGGCCCGACTCCGACGACGAGCGATGCAAGGTCGAGCGGCGACGGGGAAGCAACGGGTCAGGGCCAATGCTGTTTTCCTCTCAGGGTCTTTAGAACTCCCCAAGAGGGCAAACAATTATTACTTTCGCGGCCTTATTCACGGACTGGGGTCCCAACAATGTGGGGGCAACTGAATACTTTTTCCGCGGCACCCGCCGTGCGACAACGACGACAACGACGATTGCAACAAGGAGGGGGAGGGGAGGGAGGGAGAGGGAGGAGGAGGAGGGGAAGTTTTAGGACCAGTCCTATCCACCGCCGAGTGAGAAGGGTGGGGGGATCAAAACAAAAGACACTTCGGGGTTACCTGCGTTACCTGGGTCTGCTCGGGCGCACACTCTCGGAGCCTCAGTCTCCGAACCAGGGAGCCGTGCCCACAAAAGAGCCCCCCCCAGCTCTCCAGGTTTCCTGTTCCCTACGGTAGGTGCGTGTCGTAATCACGTTAGCGTTGGCTGCGGACACCGCATGAACATTTCAACCTCGAAGGACCGCGGCTTTCCCACAACGCAGGTGGCTCGATACCGGTCGGCTCTGAGCCTCTGCGCGGCGCTCAACCTTGAACGCGCCGCATCCACGCGACGTGCTCTCGCCGCGCCCCCGGAAACAGAAGCCAGGCCGACAGTCGGCGGTGTGCCAACGGGGGAGGTGAGAGTCTCGGCGGGCGGGCCTCCTCGGAAGGCCCGCAGGCCTCTTCGAAGGCGTTCTGAGCCTCCTCCGAAGACAGAAACGGCTTCTGACAGGGCGCGAGGGCGTCTGAGGGCTCCCGCCGCCTTCTGAGAAAGCTTGCCCCCCTTGGTCTCCCCCAGCTCGCCGTCGCTCGGATGTCCATTCTCCGTGCATTTGTCGGTTTCGTGCGTGCTTTTTTGGCTCGATGGTCCAGGAAGGTCCTCGGTGGTTCTCGCCGAGAAAAAATGCACATGTCCGAGCGATGCCAAGCCCATCGGCGTGCCGTCGAAGCAGGCCACGCCGCCGCGATCGCTCTCATGGGGCCCACCCCCCTCCGTCGCCACCGCGCCCCTCTCTCGGTCGGGGTCGCGGGGGGCACCCAGGAGCAGGCCCGCGCCCCGTCGACGACGGCCTTCGACACTCTCTGGGACGAAACCAATCATATCAAAAAACCGCGTCGGGCACTGCTGGTGGCCGTAATGGTTACAGTCGGACTCGATTGGAGAGGACACGCGACAGGACATAAGACCCTTCCGAGGGCCACGTTGCAACAGAAATGCAGGAGGCACGGGTCGCAAGACACAGGACACGATGGTACCCTTGATCTGGCAGGGTCGACCTACTAATCTGGGCCCCCTGTATGTATCTACAATCCAGAGAGCTTTGGTGTCAGATCACTTGGCGGGTCGCGTCGGTGCGAGCGGCAGCCTGGGTCAGAAGCCGCTGGGACGAAACCAGGACGGGGACATATTCGGATCAGGACAGACCAGGGATCCATGAAAACTCTCCGGCCTGGAGATGTTCGGCGGCAAGCCTGGGGGGGAAGTAAGAAGGGGCGGGCCTTGTCAGAAGGCTCGGGAGTCCCCCGGCCTTCTGAGAAGTTTCCTGAGGCTTCCCCGAAGGCGCAGAAACCCTCTCTGAATGCAGGCGGGCTTCTGAGAAGCCCCGCCGCCTTCTGAGAGGGCCTTCTCCTTCTCACTTCCCCCCCTCGCTCCCCGCCGAAAATCAGGGACCCCTGAAAATTCGCGGGCCTGGAGGACATGTATCGGGCGTCGCGGCCTGCCTGGTCCTCCTCGTCCTCACCGTTCCCCCCTCCGTCCGACAAGGCTCGTGGTCCGCGGAGCTCTCCCCCCCCCCGCCGTCTCTGGGAGCCTATTGCCTCTGCTGCTGCTCCTCCTCCCCCCTCCCCTCGTCCCCCTCCTCCCCCCTCCCCTCGTCCTCCTCCTCCTCCTCCTCCTCCTCCTCGCGGTCCTTACGTCCTCCTCGGCACCTCCTCCCTGCTTGTCGCGCCAATCGCACCACCACGCCGTGCTGCACGTCGTGGAGCGTCCCCTTGCCCCTCTACAAGCATGCACGTTTCCCCTCAGCTCTGAGTATCTTCGTAGACGCTCCCCGACGAACGAATGGGCCCCCGCCTCGCGATCCAACACGTCCTGGTCGCCGCGTGTCCAGGGCGCACTGTTTGCTTCCCGCCCCCAAGCGAAGTCGCGAATGCTATTCAGGAGCTCATGGAAGCGATGACGAGGGCGGAAGCAGGGAAGACGGCGCCAAGTGTGATCGCCATGATAGTGGGACTGTTCCTTATGCCTATCATGTGGGCCTGGGGGAGTGGATGTACCAATGATTATGGCAACCATGCCGAATCCGTTCAACTATTGAGATGGTGATCGAGCGGGAAGCCTGTGCAACCTACCTCCAGCAAGTATGACGAAACCACTTACATAATGGACCGTACTGCTGATTATACTGACTTCATAAGCCCGTGGCGACGACAACTGTGGCATCCACATATAAACTTTGATATCATCCTCAAATGCATTAGTCGACGCTGGCGAGGAGTATGTTGAACATGGCCTGCAATTCAATAATGCCCGAAACATGTATTTCTGATTTCGACGGCCAATTGACATGTTTGTTCATACGGTGACAGCGATGCATATGAACAAACATATAAGGAAGCGGACAACAATTGTAAGGGAGGGGAAGGCGGGCGAGACGCCAACCCAATGATCCGGAACCCCCTGGTTCGCGCTTACAGGAAGCTGGCCTAATCAATCATAGAGCGTCGAGGCCTACACATATCTACCACCACTGGCCAAACTCTGTTGTGGGCCCAGGATCGGTGAACATGCCCCACTGCCGTGGCCAGGGGGAATACACGCTGCCGACTGCGCTCCAAGTGGGCCCAGGGAGGAGCGGTGGACATGTATAGACATCGTAGCCCGTCACCACACCGCTCCTCTGAAAGATCTCCTCCGAAGCTGTACACCGAGGGGGAACGTCATAGGGGGACCAGCTCAGGGGGCGCAGCTTCGACCTGAAGTCGGCGTTACATTACCAATAGATCGGCAAGAGACTCGTGATAGCGACTCCGCATGATCCTGGGCGGGGAGGGCTATCGGGCTCCTGCAGGCGATCAATGAAAATAAGTGGGGCTCGATGGATCCCCCTCACTGAGCAGATCCCCCCCTCCCCCCTCGCGTTGCCCCTGGCTTTCGGGCCACAGCTCGGCTCTCCGGCGGCCGCTCGGAGCGATCCGGGCGCCCCGGGAACGCTCACGGCGAGGCGCAGCAGCCGAGGCAGGAACACTGCCATGGACCGACGAGAGCGTCCGCAAACCTCAAACCTCGAGCCTCCATGCTCTTCCCCCCTCTCTAGAATTGCCCCTGACAGGCCCATGGGACACCTATTAAGGGGTCCGTGGCGCACGCATGGGCCCCGACGTCGTGACTTTTGTATAACGTCGACCCCCTGGCCAGAGGTCTGGACCCCTTCCCCGGGACTGGTCTCTCGCCCCGAGTCGCTCTTTGACGGTCCCGAGGCCCCGCGAGGGCCTCCAGAGGTTGACAGCAGCGCATGGGGTGGGCGGCATGGCCTGTGGCCCGTCGTCCTGGCCGAAGGGGCCGCAGCACCGGCACGCCCAGTCCGGGTGCGAGAGGCTGAACATCAGGTGCGAGCCTCGCTTGGGCGTCGCTGAGTAGGAGGGCGAGCGATGTGTGTTGGGGGGGGGGGAGGAAGTGCCCTCTTCAGGCCCCAAGGGCCCCTGACGGCACCCTGCTGGGCCCGAAAGGGCCCCTTCACGGGCCCGAAAGGCCCCCCATTGCATCACGCAACGCCCAGCTCGCCGCGGCCTGCGGCGCGTCGGGCAGGCGGTGCAGGAGGGGCAGGGGCGAAGCTGAGCTAGCGCCAGAGTCGCGTGCGCGTTCCGCTAGGGAGCCCGCCCGTGCCCTGCGGAAGAGGAGGAGGAGGAGGAGGAGGAGGAGGAGGAGGAGGAGGAGGAGGAGAAGGACAGGGATAAGGAGGAGGATGAGGAGGAGCAGGAGGACGAGGAGGAGGGAGGAGGAGGAGGAGGAGGAGGAGGAGGAGGAGGAGGAGGAGGAACTCCGTTAGGGCATGGCGTGGGAGCCGTGGCCTCCAAAATGTGATACCTGCGCGGACCCTCGGGATAACCACAATTCGGTTAAGACGTCGATGCCGATCTCGTTCCTGTGAACTCCACCGTTTCCCTCTGAGGGGAGGCGGGCACGGGCAGAGAGAGAGAGAGGGAGAGATAGAGAAAGAAAGAGTCAGCAACGGAGGGGGGAAGGAATGTGGATTCTTGCGGTGAGATTCTTGTGGGAGATTCTTGCGGGATGAAACGGGGAGATTCTTGCGGGATGAAACGGGGCGTGGTCTGTGCGCACCGTGTTCAAAAGGGGCCAGCCAGCCAGCGAGCCGCCTCAGGCGGGGAGCGGAACAGCCAGCCGAACGCGCGCTTTCGAAATCCCCAGACCCTTCGCGTCCAGTGCCAAGGCGCCAAAGGAATGCGGCTCGAGGGACCTGTTCTCCCAAATGTTCTTCTGAGAACCACTACCGGTCCCCAAGACCAGCAAACATGGATCTGTGACAAAAACTCAAACTACCGTCAGAGAGTGGGTCGTGACTTCTAGGGCTGCTGAACGAACAACTCACCATCGAATGTCATGGCTGACAAGCGTTAGAGGCCTCCCAAGAAAGGGGTCCGAGTAGATGGGGTCGAAGGATCGCGCCGCATCGCCGACACATCAGCGATGCATCGCCGAAGCATCGGCGGAATCAGCGGTGCATCGGCGACGCCGGCGTGGAGAAAATAGGGCTCGACATCGAATTGCATCGCCGATGCATCGCCGATGCATCGGCGATGCGGCGCGATCTTCCGACCCCACCTACCCAAACCCCATCTGCCACCTACCCCGACCCCGCCTGCCCGGTTCCCACCTACCCGGACTCCACGTACCCCTCATCTTCCGACCACCGCCTAGAAGCATGGCTACCACCTGGGCAGGGTGAAGCTCCTACGGATCATCAGGGGGTCGCCGAGCCTCGCACGCACGGCCACTGTGGATATCATTATGGTAACTCGCGAGAATGGGGAATGCAATGACATGGGCGGGAACGGGACCCGCAACCCTCCATTATGTCGTTCGCTCCCAAGGGTTTGGGAGTCTGATTTGAGCCATCTTGAAGGTTCTGGGTGGTCTGGGCAAAAGCCCGCTCTTTCATGGCTTGTCGGGGGGTGGTCTAAGACTGCTCGTCCAGAAGGCGTGAGTGTGTGGCTCCCTTTGGTATTACGAGATTCGGGGTACGCAGGGGCCCTGCGAGCCAGAAGGTGGCGGCAGGGCAACGGTGGAGAGCGGCGAGTGATAAGAAGCCAGAACATACATAACAACATACAACAACATACAGCGCTGGATTCTACGGGCGCCGATGCGACGGGCCAGGGCTCCCAGAGGGACCTGAGAGTACGGCTGTCCGCCCCACCCGCGATACGCCGCGCCCCGTTCCGCGGGGGACGGGCGGGTGCGGCTTGGCCCCTACCTCGAGCCTCGTGGAAGCCTCAGGGCCGATCCTCTCATCGTCGCTCTCCTGCTCCTCCCTCCCTTCTCCCTCCCTTCTCCCTCCCTCCTCCCTCCCTCCTCCCTCCCTCCTCCTCCCTCCTCCCTACCTCCCACCCACCTCCTCTTCCTCCTGCGCTGGGGAAGGGAAAAGATTGAAGCAGGCCAACAAGGAGCAGTATGGGGACATGGGGAGAGGCGATCCCTGCGTCTCTCTGCTGGCCTTTCGACAGAGGCGGACACACCCACAAGGAGGAGCAGGATGAGGAGGAGGAGGGGGAGAAGGAGGAGGAGGAGGACGAGAAAGATGAGGAGGAGGGGGAGCAGGAGGAGGAGGACGAGAAGAAAGAGGAGGAGGAGGATGAGGAGGAGAAAGAGAAAGAGGAGGAGGAGGAGGAGGAGTAGGAGCAGAAAGAGGAGGAGGAGGAGGAGAAGGGTGAGGAGGAGAAGGAGGGAGGAGGAGAAGGAAGAGAAGGAAGATAACAAAGAGGAGGATGATGAAGAGTAACCAAGAGGAGTAATCAAGAGGAGGAGGAGGAGGAGGAGGAGGGGGAGGAGGGGCGGGCACCTGGCTTCTCCTCCCCTCCTCCACCTCTTCGTCCCTTCTTCGCCTCCTCATTCTTCTCCTCCTCCTCCTCCTCCTCGTCCTCCCCCTCAGGAATGGTCTTGATGAGGGAGGAGGCAGCGACAACATGATGAACAACTGATGTCGATGGTGCTGATGCTTACGATAATAATAAGGGTGATGCGGCTGATGGTGCTGCTGCTGATGATGGTCATGCTGATCATGATCATGACAAGGATGATGCTGATGCTGCTGCTGCTGCTGCTGATGATGATGGGGATGATGCTGTGGCGATGGGCCGCAACCTGCAAACCTATGCATATGCGGCCCCGACCGCGACCAAGAACTCAACAGCGCCTTGGTCATCGAACCCAGCAGCGCAAACCAAAACAGAGACGCGCCCAAGAAGGGCCACAACCTACCCCACCGACAATCCTCCGAAGGAGGTTCTGCGGGTGCTTTTTCCTGATACCACTGGTGTCAGGAAACAGCACCCTCAGAACCTCTTTCGGAGGAAGAAGCGAAGGGTCTGCAACCTCGAGAGGCGGTCCAGCCGTCCCCGCGCGCGCACGTCGCATAATGCGCGCTTGCATGCAGCTTTCATCAGCGCAGGAGGGCGCCGCCCTCTTGCGCTAGGGAGGGTAACACAATCTGTACGAATGGTAAAACAACGAGACGTAAGGAGGGTAAAACGGGACGCAAGGCCGAAACATAAAACGGGACGTAGAGAAAGTAACACGGAACGTAGGGAGGGTAAAACGGAACTCAGGGAGGGCAACACGAAACGTAGGGTGGGTAAAACGGGACGGAGGGAAGGTACAACGGGACGCAAGGAGGGTAAAACGCGGAAAGAGGTAACGCTGGACGGAGGGAGGGTAAACCGGAACGGGAGGGAGGCTAACACGAGGGAACGACGGTAAAACGAAACGCCAGACAGGGAAAAACGAACGGGGAAAGGATAAGGCGAAACATAGCGAGATGAAACGAAACGGAGGGAGGGTAACCCGAAAGGGACCGAAGGTAATGCGACAAGGAGGGAATTTAACAACGAAATGGGGAAGGGCAACGCGGAATAACATAACAACCAACAAAACAAACACACGCTGAGCGCACATTCAAAAACAGCACGCCGGAAATACTTACCCCGAGTCGCAACAAAACAAACCACAACACCAGCTGCAGTGAAATATCCAAGCACAACACAACAAGACACGATGCGTCGGAGGCGCCGAAACAGAACGTACAAGAGAACGCATCGCTCCGACCTCCGATGGGCGTCGTTATCCGAATTCGTCTAAACAAAACACGAAACGCGTTTAGAACAACAAACAAAGCAACAAAACAAAACACTCCAAACAGACAACATAACAACGTTTAGGTCGCGCCCAGGAGGGCGGACAAGCGGCTCTTACGCTCGGCAGGCGCGCTTCGTCAGGCAAGCGCCATGCCAAACCAACAACATGACTCGGGTAGCCTTGGTACGCGGGTGGGGCAGAAACCCTGGCCACATGCGCGAAGACAGCTCGGAATCAGCCGCGCCCCACCAAAACAGGAGGGACCCTGTGTCACGCGCTCCCGAAAGCACCGCTGTTTCGGATGTTGTCCACGACCTCGGCGTCCCAGCTCTGCCCTCGCCTGGGCCTGCGGCTGCGGGGCGCCGTCGCAGGCCGTGCCCAAGCCAATCGCTCGAGCACGCCAACTTCGCACACGCTCCGCGCGCCCAGTAAAATACGATCATCCCGCCCTCCTTCCAACGCATGCGATGCGCTAGGCGGAACTGATTGTTTCATCGTGGTGACTGGGCGGCCACGGCGGCACCCGACATTCGCTCACACGACTTGTTCAATCCGCGGCCCCAGGGAGGTCCCGACAGCTTTGGAAGGGGCGTAACTTCCCGACCAGAATCCAGGCTTGATTGCCCCAGGGCGCAGTGACGGCCCCCAGGGCCCGAAACTGAGACCACACTTTTTGAGCAGGGACCGACCGTCCCGCCATTTCTTTAGGCCTACCACGACATGTTCTCAGAACCCAGAAACGTTCTAAAAAACGGAAGCAACGTTCTTAGAACATACGCCCGATGTGCTGGGGCTGAAACGAGACAGCTCCAGCAAGAAATGTTCTACAAACATTTCGCGCAAACCACTAACAAGTTCATTCTTTGGTAGGCCTATAGGCAAGCTAGGACGCTGCGCCACTGCTTTAACTTTCCGTCGCAGCGCGGGAGGAGGAAATCTGAGCGCGCGCTCTGGTAGCCCACGGCGTAGTCTACTAATTGTCCGGCGGCGCGAGGAAGGGATGGGGGCCGCAGAACGCGGGCGGGGGAGGAGGGCCGGAGGGTTTCAAACGGGTTTGGGGGGAAGCGGTTTTCCAGAAGGGGTCCCCCAGGGTCTTCGCACCCCCTGTTTCGACGAGGCTCCGAAGCCCCTGGGGGGCTCTCTGGAAAACCCCCTCCCCCAAAACCCTTTTTGGAACCCTCCGGGAGGGCACTCGCCCCATGAAGTGGAGGAAACACGCCCGGACTGAGACAAAAACAAATCGTC